ACAGTGTTAGTTATCTGATATTTCTGATAGGCAATGTACTAATTGTCTAAAGGCTATCAATGCGGTCATTATTTTAAGGACATGGTGGCCAATGCGATTACTCACGTGTCCTGTTTTCTTTAAAGATAAAAGATCGAATAAAGCATCTCCATTTCTGCAATAACTTTCGTTCTTTCAGTACCTTCATCATTAATCGTGTAAATATTGGAATTAGATTCTAGTTATCTGTATGCCCCTTCAGTGACTGTACTTTCTTTTTGATCATATTGACTAAACCCATAGGTGTACCAGTCCACTGCGTCATGGTAGAGGCTATCTTCTTTAGATCAAGTCTCGTCAAAGTATTCGATCAGAAATGACAGCCTTACTAGTTGCATAGACCCTGCCCTATAAGGTGTCACCTGGAAGATCTGTAGTTTTATTTCTTCTAAAAGACACAATATAATAGTACTAATGACTAATGCTCAAACAGCTTTTTTCTTTTTTTTCCGATAAACTAGTTTTTTTGTCAATGGAACTTTTTGCGGACCTATTTCTAATCCACAATGGCCGTATCTGATATCTATTTTGCTCTTCTACAACCTCTTCTGCTTTACCGTTGTGCATTTTAATGAAGCGTCTTCTGAATACAACAGTTTTTGGCTTCACTGCCAGCATCATTTCCACGCTAACTCCGGAGCCTATTCTCTATACGTTCAGCAGCCCATCAGAGAAACGTTTTATCCGTGGAACATTTTCATCTGATTTCATTGGACGTATGTGCTTACATTGTGCCGACCCCCAGGTCCATTCAATATACGCAGGCTTGGTTGGTAGTACTGAAAACCCTATTAATAATAACAAACTATAATAACAGAACTAGAATTAGCCCCAGAACCACGACGTGTATGGGCAGCTGTTATATGTTAAGATTCGCAGTAGCAAGTTGAGGACAAGTCCTCGCATTAGCTTTATTGTAACAAACCTTGTATTAGTGTATGTATACGCCAGAAAAGGTTACTTTCCCTTTATTATCTCCCACTATTTTTCCCCCTCTGTACCCCAGTTTTTTCCTACATATACGAACTAGTCATTTTTTGCCTTATGAGTGCGGTCCGAGACAAACTGATTCGGTACTGCAACCTCTGTCGTAAGTATCAAATCCCGTATAAACTGTTTTCCAGTCATTGAAGATTGAGCCCATTGATCTCGTTTGTACACCTGAAGACCATAACGGTATATCTCACAAGGTGAACGTGGCAAAGGCTACTAATGAATATATATTCATCTATTTTGCATTACCGTTGTTTTTTTTTGGTGAGGCTCGCAGCTTACTGTGAAATCTGTCTAACTTAGCATCACTGAAAAAAAGGTGTATACTGGAGAGACGGGATCTTCAGATCCGGAATGAGGTTGAACGGTACAAACAGTGCAATATCGGCACTCTATCTATAGGCTCAGAAAAGTAGCCCATTTTAGTAGTTATAACTGATACTTTGAACCGTAATGTGGCAATTCATCTTTTGATTAAAAAAGGAAAACCTTTTACTTGGTATCTGCTATTATCGAAACGTTGCAGATGTACTCTAATCACGGCTATGCAGCTGGATGGTACTTTAATTGTGCAGTGTCTTTCTAGTCGATTATAAAATGCTACTATTATAATATAGAGTGCATAGGTAAAAACATCGAATGAACAAAGTTAAATGAAAAAGTCGTTGTTTCGTCCTAGAACCCAAATGGGCTTCAGCATAAACTTACTGGCATGTGTTTGCTAATTATTTCTAGAATCCTTTGTTCTACCGTCAAATAAAAGTTTAGAAAAAACAAAGTTTTCTGGCCCGCTTTGCCGCTATGCGGCCCGTTGTCGGCAGCTCGTTTCGGGTGAACGAACCTTGTCATCCATCCGCGAAGAAGCTCGAAAGGTTAACACAGCTGATCAGACGTACTATGATGGATGCCCAGTAAGGTTTCATGAAACTATGCTGCTGTACTACCTAGTTCATAGTGTTTTTCTCTTGGTACCCTCTCCACAGTTGGTACAACCTTACAGATAGATTTGCATTTTCCTTATACACCTTCCTTAGGTTTTAAGGCTTCCAAGCTATCATAGAAATTCGTCATGTTCTAATGCTGCCCTAGTGTTCTAATGTATCGGTGAGGTTTAAGCAAAAACCATAACCTCTGACAAACGATTCGTTGCCCGTCAGCCCACAACTACGTAGACTATCATTCTGAATAATTAATAACAACTTTCAATAAAAACATTCAATACTCACGACAGTTTCAACACTGTAAGAAAACGAGCCGATGAAATCAACAAATAATAATCATCTACAATATAACGATTTCCAGCACCAGAACTAAAGGTCGTAAAATGGTAAATGCTATTTTGTTGACCTGTTTGCCACAGCGCCCGTATTACAGAACGGGTAAACAAACAAGCTCGAAAGTACACTGATTTCAGTATCTTCTGCTACCTATTCACTGCGGCCGTTTGTATAAACAAGTGTGCATCTTATGATGGCGCAGATCCACCGAGGACCTGTCGAAGTACAACTGAAAACTCTATGATTTTCAGTGTCGACGAAATTACTATTTCTGTTGGATGAAAGCAATTCATAAAATGCAATTTGTTTTGAAATACGCGCCACACTGGGCCGGCTATTTTTGTCTTCATCAGATTTTATCCATTAATTCGTTCGACTGTTGTTTCGCGATGTTCTGGTCGTCCTTTATAATATCGCTGACAACCTATTGCTACCCTCGACATTACTTTAAATCATTTAGACATTTCTTTATACTGTCGTTGTACTCGTCTTAATCACAAGATCAATTCCAGCTAAATACACTGTGTCCGCAATTTTACTCCTGCATCCATGGCACGTATATAATTTTAACTTAGACATTCAACATAATAACCATGACAGCACTTTTAACCAACTAGAAAATACAACAGGTACGCCAGGCTATATATATATATATATATATATATATATATATATATATATATATATATACTGTACACCTTAGAATATATAAGTGTACCTATTTAAGTTTGTCAACGACCTCCCATGGTAGTAAACAACGCACCCTAATGAGCCAGCTAACGGGTGCGTAGTTTAGTCAGTTTTGCTTTCTGGATAACAACCATCATCGTCAATGTTCCTACGAGTCGCTCCGGTGAACCGATGAAATCGATTCAACAGCCGATCGCTACTTAAGCTATTCGACGGCCGGACCGCAGCTGAAGGATTCGACCCCATGCTCGGTCAGGACAACGCAGTATAACGTGTTTATTTATCAAGTGAATACGTTGTATCAACGACGTAACGTTAGGTAATGTATGCTCTTGCAGGTATGGCTCATCGTACGTCGAGACCCCTTAAACGAGGTCACCTAATGCTCAGTTTATTGATTCCTATTACTTGTCAGCTTTTGCGATAACAATGAAAATGCTGGCTTCGCTGCTCAACGGATCCTGCAATTCCGTAGCTAACTTATTGTACAGATTTCCGATGAGAAAGATCAGAAAGAGACTGATCGCACCAGCTGTACTCCGAGCGTGCGAAAAGAGCTCCGATTGGCACTGGCCATGTGACTGGTGTTTGTTATCAATCATATTTCGTTAACATGTTTCTATTAGCTCGATATGAAAACAATTTTATTTTATACATTTCTATAAGTCCCCGCCGTAGAGCGAGAAAACGCGTCACGTCAGAAGCTCGTCTGTAGCTGCAGAAAGTCTTTAATATAAATGCATATTAACATTGGTCTATAGCTACATCGTTCCCGTATTGTATAATAGAGTACCACAACCTGTGGGAGAGTAGACAAAAAATGCAAATGGCGGGCGGCCATAAGCGAAGTTTTGGCCGAAAATATCCCACACTGGAGATAGCGTGACGCTGAGCGAAGCATCGTGCCAGAAATCAACAATCGTTTTCTTAATAAACCTATCTTATTATCATATATCTAGCAGGCATTTAGACACGCGTTGTGCCACAGTTATCGTTATTTTATCTTCCATTTTGCAGGAGAGAGGACAAATTCAGGGTCGCCTTTTCATAGTAACCGTTCAAAATGGAAGGTCATTAGCGCCGCTTAATCTGCTGTTTTATCATCTTGTTATCACATGGATAGCCTTCAGGAAACGTCCAAGGCTACGATACGCTAGACTAGCGTGAGCGATTTCCGATCCGAAGCTTCGCTGGCCGATTGACCTACTACACACAAATAGATCACATGCTAAACATCTTTTCTGATATCAAACGATCTGAGCGTAATACATTGTAAAATAACACCAGATGGAGATACGTCAAGTATTAACTGTTCTTTGAGTAACTTTGACACACATTAATAATTGATTGCTGTTAGAGTGTCGTTAATGGTACCTCTACTTCAAGGCTTCGAGAGCTAGCCTAGTCAGTTTCTATTTAGTTCTTGCTATATGCGGTGCCCGTGCAGAATATAAATGCAAGAATACGTCTCATTGTATCTATTAGTACTATTCCGGCACTGCAAAGGAACGGCAGCAACATAACGACGGTTCATAAATCTTTCATTCTTGATACGATACACTGGTATCGGACATTGGCCCTCAATCCGACTCTGAATACATTCACTGAACATCATCGGCGGTCTGTACCGTCGACTCGTGCTAACACGATGGCCGTGTTGGCTACTTTTCTAGTGCGGACCCCACCGGTGCGTCAGACAACCAGTAACTCTGTCTTGGGAGGCCACAAAAAGACCTAAAACGGGATAATGTAGCCGTTTTTCTTTATGCATGTATGAGTATTTCATTTTTTTCTTTAGTTAAAACAGTGCTATCGTTGACATCGAATACGATGACGTTTTATTGCTTCGCGGCTAGGCATAATTCTTCTGTGGCCGAACAGAATAGACAACACAAATGAGATGACCTTGAATTATAATAATTTTATTTGAAGAATAATACATCTCTAGTTTAGATAATCGTACGTAAGTTTGACATGTGTGGTACTTCCCATCCCCAATCTTCGCCCAAGGAATGTCCACCTGTTTTTACTTCCCATTTCGACCAACTATAATCAAACGTGTGGGCCAAAATAACAGTATAAGGCTTGTGCAGCAAAATCAATTTTCTTTCGTAAGTATATGAACGGCGGCCATTTTTATGCCAGTTGAATAATGGTCGCTTATCTTCTTGTGAGTAAAGAAGTGCACCAAGTTTACTTTAGGGCGGAGTTACCGCAGTTGACTTTGCCACGTATAAGGTAGAACGTAAAGCTGGGAACTCGCGGAAGGGTGCCGAGGCAATGTTTGTAATATACATTATTTAATAACATCATGAAGTAAACGCACACTTGTCAGTTACGGATCGAAGCTGAGCACAGCGAGTCTAAAGACAGCCGCGGGATATGATGACATTTCACAAATAATAAGCTAATTTATGTGGGTCTCCTATAGTACGTGCCTATCAAGGCTGCATGAATGGTCGCAGCCTAGGAAGCCCTAGACAGGCAGAGGATGTATTGGTTGCTATAGCTAGTTTGCTCTTATGAAACTTAAATATGCTTTCAGCCTTCGGAGATCTAGTGGAGAACTGTATAGTATATTATATTAGATAATTCGTCGATTAACATACATAGCCTTTCCAAGTTTCTGAAGTGAATCCTAATTACAGGTGAAAAAGAATGGTTGGTGTCTTTGATGGGCATTTGGAGATGAAGCGGTCAAAGTCACCGCGGTGACACAGGTTGGCGTGACCGAACCTTGTGAGGTATGAGAGGATATGCAAACGAGTCTGACTTCGAACATTGACTTTTCAGTTTTCGAGTAGGTCTACCGTCTTTATTGGCTGCTGTGAACCATGTGCAACAATCTAGACCAATCAATAATTAAATAATATTCGCGGCAAAATTATATTTTCTAAATTATGCCAGGACAATCTTGAGGGGAAACAATCACTTAACGACCGATGCCGTCCAGTTAAACTACTTGCTTTTTCTTTCATTCATATCTCCTACCACATCTCCCACAAAACAATGGCTATCACACGGGCAAAATGTTAAGGATTTGTAAGTATAATCTTCTTAGGAATTGCAATCCGTTCAGATGCGCTTTATGATTATTTAATGGCATAGCCTCATGGATATCGCATTGAGGATAAATCAAAGCCACTATAATTCTTAGACCATTCAAAGAAATTTGATAATATGCTTGTAAGTTTAAAACTATATTTGGGCTATTTCACCCCATTTGGGTCTTAACAAAAAATGGCCGCTATTTTTCCATGATGTAAAACCTATGTACTGAATCGTAGGTGATTCAAGCGGCGAGATCTCCCGCTTATAGAACTGACCGCGAAACCAAAAGCTAAGGTTTAGTTTATTTGAGCCCTGGTGTGAATTAAGACTCATATAATGTATCATCTATCTGGCATACGCATTACCTGTCATTTGCTAATTTTCCCATTTTTATTAATGACAACAATCGTTGAAGTTCTCGGCTCCAACTGAATGATTAGGAACCGGTATGTTTACGAAGTTACTAAGTATACAGCTCTATGAGCTTCTTCAACAGCTTTCGAACAACTAAGAAAGACGCAATCCTTTCATGCCGTTAGTTGCACTCTAGGAATAATTACCAGGTATAAACTTCATTTATCAATAGTAATACAAGTATTCTCTCCTGCTTCTTGCCCGATTCATAGGATTTTATGCACATGGTGTATTGCAGATTTCACGTCGAAGAGCCACAAAGTGTTAGTGAAACAGTGAATTAGTATAGATCTCCATTATGGCGACCTTTTCAACGACAGCTCTAGAAAATCGCAACCTTTTCGTTATAGGCTGCGACGTCAGGTAATGATTGAAAGATTGGCGTATCTGTCTTCCAAAGGATTCGTTATAACGTCATAACAATATTTCTATGTTTCTCTTCTGGACACGACCAGCACATGGTTCCAAAAGACCCCCTTTCAACCGCCGTGCACCAGAATATTCGTCACGAGCCCAAAACCGTCTACAGAGTATATAAGGCATGATACAAAGTAGTGTGTATGATTCGAGAAAATAGGTGTATGCATTTTTAAGAAAAAACTAATGGCGTCTATTGTTCATTATTTTTCCTCTGGAAGAAAGCCATTTTGTCTTGTAATTGACCGAGAAAAACAATAAAGCAGACTCAAATAAACGGCAGATGATTAAAGATAGTCGAAAAATTCGTGTCTTTGACACCAGTGGTTTTTTGACATAATTCCCTACTGAGTTAGTACAATGATTCGACAAGTACTTGGTGGCGATTAAACAACATCTCCAGAACAGAGCCACGAGCTATAGTAGTGACTTTTTTTTCTCAAGCTATGGGGGAGGGAGGTAATGCAAGTCAGAATTGAACAGCGAAGAAGACACGTCTTGTAATGGAGAAAATACGCATCACTGTAAGGAGATCTGAGAAGACATCGGTCCGAAAGCTGGTCGTCGAGGGTTCCCTATAGTAGCAATGAAGGCACGATCGTAATATGCATTGTGTCTGCTTTCGCCGCTGAAAAGCGAATACCTCCATTAACTGAGTAGAACGGAAGGACGTCCTGATGCTGGGGCGTCACCGCCGGGGGTCGGTTTCCCCGTTGGTGAGATGTTTCCGTTACTGGCTGGCATGGCCCGTACTTTGTGTTCTAGACTCCTGTTCCAACGAGTCATCATGCAAACAGACCTTTTCAGCTCAATGTTTCTCCTTATTTCTCTTGCTGACATCCGCCTTTAAGTGCTCACATGCTGAAAACGAAGAAACAAGCACATTGTAGGTCGGCCATTGTTTTCCTTAGTACTTTTTTTCTTATGAACTATTTTCCTAGATCTTCCGTCTGTAGCAACATATAGAGAAGCACTTTACCGTGCATTTGTGTGGCTGATAGTTTTGAGCGTCAGTTAAGATCGAAGAGATAGCGTTCGGCGTCCTGTTTCACCCGGTCCCTGTTCTAAATCCTCTGTGATACAAATCTATGTTACTTATAGATACGATGAGCAAAGAAAGAAGTTTCTTTTGCCCGGCAGATGGAAAACCCTGCCCAACTGTACCGCAAATTGGGTCCTACAGCCGGTATGCTTAGTTTTTCTTCGACGCAGCTGAGTTGTTTTGCATGCATGTAAATGCAGGTTTATTGTTACTTCTACCATAAATTATATGCTACAATTATATGGAGATAGCCTGCACGCAGATTGTATGTTATGCACTTGCAGAAAGCTTTCGGGCTCAACCTGAGTGACGGAGGTAATACCGTTACCGACCACAGAAGCCTGCCTGCCTAGACAAGACTCAGCGGCTTGTATCTGCTGCCGACTAAACAAAAATTTCACCTTTATTCTTCTGTCACGGTTAGCGATCTTAGTGCAGCAGGCACCGCTTGATCGAAGTAGAGGTTTGCTGCTTCGGGCAGAAAAACCGGTCAGGAACGACAAGAGGGTCCGATAGGATGGTAATGCTACTCAAAAGTTTTACCAGCAGTTAGAGCTAGCGATTACGGAAAGCAGTTGTACTGCGCCATACTTGCGTCGTACACCTCAACCGCCGGCACACCTGTCTACCTAACAGTGGTGTAGTTACCCGCCATGTTTATAGTGGCTCAAAAGCACCAGTCACTAAACATGGCAGGCCTAGCTATGACTTGCAGACAGAAACGACGCTGAATTTCGAACCGACGACGATAGCCGTTGCCGCGTTATGAGGATCATTGCCCAAGTCGCACCCTGCTGCACTTTTCTCTTATCATCCCGTTCGACCCCAATCTTTTGCCGTCTCTCTCGATCGCTTGCACAAATTCGATTCGGCCTAGAGATCCAATGTCTGACAAAACAACCCGAAAAATGAGATCCAGTGCAGAACCAAGCGAAAGGTATTCACTCAAATACAGAGTGGCGGTGCCTAGAATAGAGTGCGCAAAGGTGACGTCCTAGGAAAAACAAGCAAACGTTTCAGCCTTATTAGAACAGAATGCTATTGAAAACAGAGTGAGCGACAGAGGGGACAGTGGATACAAAGATGGATGCCTCAAAAATTCCTGCAAAGCTCGATATTATAGGGAAACTGCGTGCATGAGAACAGATAATGGACTTAAAGGATAAGTACTGCTGGGAAAGCTTTTGTGTAAATAGAACGTATTTCTAGCCTGCAATATTCGTTTAAAGATATGCATTTTCGGTGAAAAATTTTGACCACAAAGAATCCGTTAATCATAGAAAACCTACCCCTAATGGAAAAAAAATGGTGCAACCCTTTAGATTTGCTTTCTCTGCCTTTTATTTCTTATTGCTTTTCCAATTTTGCTCAATTTGTAAACGTCCTTTGTAATACCACAGTAACTTTTCTCAAGCTACGTGAGAACCGTCGTTCTATATCGACAGTTGAACGATCTGGCAGTAGGCCGCGAATCAGCTTGCCATATCTATCGAAATAAGAAAGCTGTTACAACTGCGGTACGTCGTTTTGCCTGTCTAGTCTCACATAGCAAGGTTCCTATGGGACTCTCTACATATTCAGAATGCTGGACAGAATCGAGGCAACGCAGATGACGGGTTACGCGAAAGAGGTTCATATTTAACAGCATCGTACCGTTAAGCCACAGCCACTGCTGGTTCTGCGGCAGCTGCAAGTGAGCAATATAACTGTTTAACCAAAGTAATGCACCTAAAGGAACCCCTAAGCCTCCCCCCCCGGTTACGACGAAATGATACACGACAGACATAGCACCATTGGTCACAGTGCTGGCTCCTAGCGATTACAACAAAAATTAGTAATATATTTATGATTATTCAATCAAGTAAGCGATAATAAGCAGCCTTATTTCGTGACGTCATCGATTATTAGTTCGATCATTAAATTGAAAAAAAAAATTAAAAAAAGAGTTCTAAACTGTTTAAATACCAGACGTAAAATACGAGAAACAAAGGTTTGCCGACGCGGTTGTCAGAGTCGCAGCAATTTCTTCCAAACGACTTCAACAACTGTGATGAAAAACAGACAGAAATAAGTTGATAAATAGTAGGAACATACTGTAAGTCAGATTAGAATTTGCTTCCCAAATCGAGAAGCGTATCTCAAACTACCTAAGTAATTTTGTGTAGGTGAGGTAGATATCAGTTCATTTAACTTCACTGGCACAGTGATCATGTACATAGATGGCATTCAACCTTCCACCAGCTGCGGACATCATCGACTCTAGCAGGGGTTGTCTGGCTCTGTGTACAGTATATACAGCACAGCACAACAGCAACACTCGCCACCGTGAACATACTACAACACGATTAACTATTACCATTTAGCCATACGAGGTACGGAACGGCATTGGTTTAGTTCTATAAAGGAGGCATTGTTGAAAGTCCGTTTTCATCTAGAATATTCCATAATCGGTCTTCTTCTAATGCAAGCGACCAGCTTCGTTCTGCGCACTGAAGTTATTGTTTTAGTGCAAAAATGAAGGTACGAATAACTTTTCCATAGTAAACATTTCCATTTGGCTGATTGTCACTGGTCAATAAGCAGCCGTCGGGGACCTTGAGCAGCAAATGAGATGGCTCGTCCACCCTGGGAAGGAGTTGTTGGATCGGCAGGATGCTCTGAGTTTAGCAGGTTACCAGATAATTTTATAGTACCTTTTAGCAAATTCCAGGTGTCGAGTACGATCTAAAGTCAGTGAATAAATGCATTTAGGTAAATGATTTCGCTATCGCGGCAAGTTCTGAGCTGTTGGATACAACGTAGAAACGTTTCGATCTTTGCTCTAAACGCTCTAGTGAGAGTTCAAGCAAAATTAATGTAGAGGAAACGCAATGTACTTTTGCCTGTACCCAGTGAGTGTTGTACTTGGATGTCAAGAATTAGGGGAGTCTTGAGGAAGAAGAATCATACGTGATAAAACCAGCAATTTCTTAATTAAAGGTTATTCAAAGCGGGAAATTTTAAACATTTTAATCCTGGAAGTGTATTCATTCTGCGCGGTCAGTTACGAACCCCTATGAGGTGTAACAGCCTCTTTTCTACCGAGATGTCTACTAACGAGGCAACTACATCCAAGACATATTCCAAACTCGAGCACATTTTCATGTCAGCAAACGAGAGCTGCGAAGTCCATTTGATGGTTACAACTTCATGTATTATGTCTACAAGTACTCTCTACCCACGTAAGGAGGATGTGAATATGAAACATAAATACCAATTGTCTGCATAATTGCTAAATTTACACTTTATTGAAAACTGAAAATTGTTTTTGGCTGGCCATATTTTTGTCAAGTAGAATTGTGCCTAAAGCTCGTCGATCTATCGGCTAATTCGCACTTGTTTCTAGACAGGATATTTTCCTTACCTTACATTTGTAGGTCATTTTGCTTATAAAATTACCCCGCTGAAGACAATCTTTTTTTGTTTCGCGTGAACGTCAGCTGTCAAATCAATCTTGGCCATCAAAGAATTGTAATTGAAAGCGTATGCTCTGCTATATCGAGCACGGCACCGCCTCGAGGCTTAACATTTTTTACTGTGACACAAGTGGCCCTTTCATATTAGTATATAGTATGTCTATACCTGCTTCAAATGAAGCTGAACACGTTTCGGACTGAAGTTAACATCTAAGACAGAACATGCCCTTGGTTGATCGACCTTCGCAAAGGGTCCAGTGCAGCTTCTGCGGGTGAAAAGCTAACCTCATCAGCCAGGCCACTTTTCTGCGCTATCGTGTGCTGACTTTTTTGCCATTGGAGACTACGGTCATTGCTCTCAAGTCTTCCTAGCGCGAAAGTAGACGCTAGGTTTCTCAGACTGCTAGGGTACTTTAACCCATCAATTTCTGCTATCAATCTGTCCCTTCAAATTTTACTTGGCAGAACAAAATGGTTTTGGGGTTCGAAAAGAGCGGAGGATCATTAATAGAAGATTTGTATAGAGAATCTTTTTCTCTTCCAAGGTGGAACTGATAGGGTGGACCTAGACGATAGTGTCTGCGGCAAGTGTTAATGCTCTGAGAACAGCTGATGTTGCCCTTTCGGTGGACCTTCTAATATAGTTGAAAGGGTGTCAAGCAATATGGAAGGCCGGTGGGATCGATCTGTGCAATAATGTATACAGAAAACGACTGCATGGACATGGCGTTGATAGCTAGAATAAGCGATTGGCAACAAACACAACAACAGTTTAAAAGTTTTACAAGGCAGTGACGCTTGAAGGTAAGCAGGCAAACCGAACAGGTACAATGATCGATAGAAGCACATGCAAATTTTATGACGGGCAAACTGTTAGTGACCTGACAAAGAGAGTACCACGTTAAGCTTAAAATGCTTGATGCTAGTGAGCTCGAATTAAGCGACAGTTCTCAGGATTGCTTTCTTTGTGCACCTATACCGCGATAAAAAAAAGTGAACAGGAGCACTCATGCGCGCGTAAGTAATAAGTGAAGCCAGTAACGGATGTGAAACATTACATATCAGTGATATCAAACTGCTTGAAGCAGCTGTTCTCCTTGGGGTAGAAGCTCATAGGTATATCCACAATGTATTATAAATAAGGATGTTAGTGCATTAAGCGGTCAGGAGGGTTGTTGCTGTTTGTTGAGTGTAATATTCGGTGACGACCAATGGTGCAATCGCAAAAGAAAGCACACCGAATACAAATCTTAGATTTTCAAAATAAAAAAGGTATTGAGTTGAAATATGGCGGGAACTGTTTTCACCGCTTCTGAGATTCCTAATAATGCGATCCACCATTTCTCTGTGATACCGTCATAAAG